CCTTATCATGTATGTTAGAAGCAGTTTGCAGGGTTTACTGTGAAATGGACTGACCGTGTATTTGTGGGCAAACACGGCAGCAGAATTGCCATACAAACAGCCATGAAATTAATTTTATTTGGGGGATTGTTGGCCAGGGAGAAGAGAACTCCCTTCTCTTTTCGAACAGTGCAATGGGATCTTTCATGTCCAACAGGCAGATGGGATCTTGGTTTAATGTCCCACCAGAAAGATGGAACCTTTGACAATACAACACCCCCCAATACTGCAGTGGAGTGTCAGTGTAGGCTATTTGAGGTGAAGCCCAAATGTGGGATTTGAACATGCAATCTTCTGACTCAGAGGTGAAAGTGCTACCACTGAGCCAAGCTGACACACATACGCTACTGTTGTGCAATTTACCACCCTCTGGAACTCCATTCCGCAGTCCCTCCACCTCGGACCCCTCCCTTGCCTCCTTCAAGACTCGTTTCAAAACCTTCTTCTTCGACTGTGCCTTCGATCACCCTTCTTCCCTCACCCTCCCCGATCCCAATCCCCAGTTCAGGTCCGAAACACTGATTGTCCAGCACCTTGGGACGTCTTCCCAACGCAAAAGACGCCATACAAATGTAATTTTGGTTTTGTTGTTTTGACCCTTCTTTTGCCTAGTTCCTGTGCGATAGAGGGAAGAATCCCTGTGACCTCCACTGAAATTGTACAGATGACAGAGATATGAAAATGATGCACGATGCTTTCAATGGAAATAGATTTTCTGTTTTAAAAGTATTATCCACATATTTTTGTGCAACTCATTTTAAAATCTGACTTGAAATATTGTTCAAAAGAGAGTAGGGTATCTCCCTGTCTTGATAACCATCTTTCATAATTCTATATTTCTCTTTCACTGTTTTGTTTTCAAGTAGCATTTCTGCTGGAGCCATCACAAGGTAAAAGTGGATATTTAGACAACTTAGTAGAGCGCTGCTTACCCATGCAATCAGTTGTCCGTATTTGGGCTGAATGTGGAAGTGATATACTTTGTAATAATAATAATCTTTGCATTTGATAGAGCGCCTTATCACACTTTCGAGGTGTCTCAAAGTGCTTCACAGAATATGCTGTAAAGTGAATTGTATATTGTGGGTGAAACACGGCAGCCAATTGTGCACAGCAGCATCCCACAAACAGTCGTGGATTGAATGACCAAATTTAAAAAAATTTTTTGAGAGGGATTATTACCCCCAGAAACGTGATCTGCCAATTGACTAACAACCGTGTTCCTATTAACTGCTATGTAAACAGATGTGTGTGGAGTAAGGAAACTTGCCTAAGGTTTCTTCCCGCCCGGGAATCAAACCCAGGCCCTCTCGCTTGCGAGACGAGTGCTCTAACCACTGGGCTAAGGGACTCCACGTGCTGGATAATCATGCATTCAGTTGTCTGTCTTTGGGCTGAGATGCGGAAGTGATATATTTTAGTGAGGTACTGATATTTTTTAGCAAACTTTTTGGAAGGATNAAAAAATATAGAAATAGCTGCATTCTTAATTGAAAAAATATTTTATCTATGGAGAACAAGACATGGTTACTGTACATCTTAAATATTACAGTAAATACACAAATAATTTGTGACTTGGAACATTTTGCTGATCTTTGCGATTCCTGATGTACTATTCGAGGATAGTAAAACTCATATTCTAAAAACATGTTATGTTTATGGAGGTCATTTGTGTTAACAGTGACTTTCTGGGTAAACAGAGGAAACCTGGAAAGGATAAGCCTGGAGATGGAAATAAAAGATACGTTAATTTCTTTTTTTTAACATTTTCTATTTTGATGAAATGTAGCAACAGTGTTCCTTAAAAGTAAATATTTATTATTTGCACATTATCTTTTTAAATGCGATCAATGATCTTTTCAAACAACAAAAAAGAGCTGTGATGACAAATGGAACGTCTAAGTTGTAAAAAGTACCAAACCTCATTTTCCCTTTTAAATACCTTTCAAGAGATGTGATAGATTTTGATATCTGGCCCTGTAAATAATGTATGATATGAAAAATTGTGCAGCTTTAAATTACACCGAAGGACTTTTGTTTCAACACACTGATTTTATTTTACTGTAATAGACGTTTTTAAAAAAAAGTTGCATTTCATTTGCTGCTGTCAAAGCTGCCAATTTTACTTCCGCGCTTGTCGCTAGAAGCCACCCAGCAAGATGATAATGTGGTTCAAGGATTCACTTTCCTCCCAATGAAAACAGACCGTTTGTGTTCATAATAATCCTTGCATTTCACACCAAGACGTCTGAAAAGCGCTAAACAAGAATATACTGTAAAGTGAATTGACTGTGTATTCTGCGTGCAAATTTTTGTGTTGGTATCCATTTTCTTTTTTCTTCTTCTTCTCCTCTTTCTGGTTTAAATTGTGTGGGATAACAGTGCCGCATTATCATTCTTATTTAAAACACTGTGTAAGGAGCTTGTTTGGGCATCAGGAGCCTATATCTATTTGCATTCAAATGCCTTCTCTTTGCCCTTATCCCTCTCTCTCTCTCTCTCTCTTGCCTCTATTGATCGAATTTCAGATCAGCCAGGATTTGCAACTAACCTTCCGGCATAACTGAACCCAACAGACAAGACCGAGGCTGGGAGACATAAAGATCAAAAAGGCTTCTGCAAAAAAAACACACATTTTGGGATTCGGAACCAAACATCGCCTTGACCGAAGTTCAGACCGAATCGCAATAAGCACTTTATTTTTATTTCCATTTGGGATCTTTGGGATTATTTTAATTGCAAACTGAAAGGGGGAGGGAAGGGGGGGGGGGGTTAGAGAGAGAGAACAAAAGAGACATATCTTTTACCCAGGGCTGACGTCAGTTAGATTTTACTGACAACTATTGATGCGTGTGAAGCAATTGCAACCAACTCCCTTTTCTTTTCATTAGGTAAATGTGGGGGGAGAGAGAGAGAGAGGGAGGGAATGGTGGGGGGGAGAACCTGGCCATAAACTTTTGAGATGCTTTTCAATGTCAGCAAGAAAATACAGTTTGGAAATGATCACTGTGCTGTGTTCCCCCCCCCCCCAAAAAAAAAGATTAAAAAGAACATGTCCTCAATTTTGTTTTGGATGGAGAGAGAGAGAGAGAGAGAGACCTCCAGAGGGAGGGAGTGTGCAAGAACAGCAAATAGGCACTGAGCTGAGCAGAGCTGAGCTTCAACCCAGGAATGTTGTTCATTACCACTGAAGGAAAGGACACATTAGAGAAAATAGTCCCTGTGATTTGGGTTTGATTTGCCCTAACCCCGCTGCTCAGACCCGGCCCGCAACACCAGAGTGTGGTGGGCAGTTTGAGGGGCAATGTTTTTTGGCGGCAGAGTTTTGATTTGGAGGCTGGTGGCTGTGTATAAGTTAATAGCGTAAGGATCCAGTGATCCTGTGATTATGTCTAACTCTGAGGCTGGAGAGGAACAGATTGAACCCGGGGAGGGAGAGAGCGAAGGCCTGGACTGGATCACTCTGCCACACAGGCAGTTGGAGGAAGCAATATAATAATAATAATAATAATCCTTGCATTTGATATAGCGCTTTTCACGTGGGGAGGACGTGCCAAAGCGCTTCACAGAACACACTGTAAAGTGAATTGACTGTATATTTTTTGTGGGCGAACGCGGCAGCCAATTGCGCACAGCAATGACCCACAAACAGTCGTGGATTGAAAATGACCAATTTATTATTGTTTTTGGTTTTGGAGGGATTATTATCAGGTGTGTGGAGTAAGGAAACTTGCCCAAGGTTTCGCCCTCTGCCGGGAATTGAACTCAGGTCTCTCGCTTGCAAAGCGAGTGCTCTAACCACTGAGCTACAGGACTTCACCTGAATATGGAATGAATTGTCCTCCCCCCCCCTTAAAAACCCCCCTTTTTTAAAAAACAAAATTCGATCTTGACCAAGCAAGATGTTTCTATTAGTTTGAAAAGCTCGGTGAAGCAGCCCCCCCACCCCAATCACTGAAACAATAATAATTCCGTCGCTCGATCTCCGACCGCGCGTCGCGTTTGGACACTGCCGTGCACAGTGCCACGAGACGCGCAGTCGCTACACTCCACGGTGCGGGCCGGTCAGTCCGCGCGGCGCTGCCCACGGGCGCCTCGAAGAACGCGCGGGCGGGGGTATGGCCGGTGTTGCAATTCACGCGGCTATATCCGCGCAGCGCTCTCTCGCGACGCCGTGAAGGTGTGATGGCGCGAGGATCGAAATGGAATGCGAGGCTGATGATGATGATGATGATGATGATGAGTGTCAGTGTTGGGGTGTATTACATGGGGGGGGGGGCTCCAGGCCGGGTTTTGCTGTAAGCTGTGCAGTAATGAGAGGGATGGCTCATGGCTGTTGGAGGGCCGGGCCATGCCGGGCCGGGCCACAGCCACAGCCACAGCCAGACATGTATTTACCCATATCCGGGTTAGAGAGGAAAGGAAGGAAAGTTTGATTTTTAAAACAGATCCTGGAGGAGGAAAGTTTACTGCCGATTAGAGGAGAGAGAGAGAGCGAGAGAGTGAGTGAGTGAGACAGAGAGAGAGAGGGAAAGTAAAGAGAAGGGTCTGGAGAGCAAAAAAAAAGGGAGAGAGAGACACGGACAGACAAACAGAGAGAGAAAGAGGGAGAGAGAGGGAGTGTGAAGAGAGAGAGAGAGAGCAACATTTAATATATTGTAATAACTATCACTATGCAACGAGAGAGAGCCCTGTGAGCTGAGTGTGTGTGAGAGAGAGAGAGAGAGTCTGGTGTGAGTTGTTTTTTTTTACTTTGCAACTGGAAGAGGAAGGAGGGAAGGAGAGAGAGAGAGGGAGGGAGGGAAGGAAGGAGAGAGAGAGAGAGAAGGGGAAGGAGAGGGTGGGAGGTTGGGGTTTTTTTTCGATGGGGGAAAAATAATATTTAATGATCGGGTACTGTAAAAGGAAGAGAAGGAGGGAAAGAAAAGGAAAAAAAAGAGATAGACGTGTGTGTGTGTGAGAGAGAGAGTGAGTGGCTGTGTGTGTGTGTGTGTGTGTGTGAGAGGGATGATCATGGCCGCTCAAGTAGCAGCAGCTCCGGCCAACAGTAACAACAACAACGGCTCCAGTGGAGGCGGCGGCAGCCCCGGCGGCTCCAGCAGCGGCAGCCTGAGCGGCCGCGAATCCGACATCAACAACGGCAGCAAGTCGGTGGCGATGGCGGCGGCTTCTTCTTCCCCTCCTTCCTCAGCAGCGGCGGCGGGTCTGGGACTCGCACTGAGCGGCGGCGAAGGGCTGACACTCAACAGCGTTGATCACCCTCGCCTTCCCCTCCGCCATCATCACCATCATCATCACCAGCCGCCGCCGCCGGGACAGGGAGAGCCCGGGATGATGGGACACTCGGCGGTTCCCGGCGACAACAATAACAACAACAACGGCGGCGGAGGAGGTGGAGGCGGCGGCGGCTCCTCGTCGTCGGCCTCGTCCAACAACAGCGACCCCGACCCCGAGCTGCCGCCTCACAAAGACACCGCCTCGGCCTCGCCTTCTGCCGGATCCAACTCGTCGCCTTCTTCCTCCTCCTCCTCCTCCTGCTCCGGGGCAGTGATGGCGGCCCCAGAGCCGGGTCTGATGATCCCCAATCATCACAAGCTAAAGCCGGCGGCGGGTGACCTGCAGCTGCTGCCGCCTCCCCCCCATCACCAGGGAGAAGGAGAGGGAGGCGGCGGAGCGGACAGTCAACATGGAGGCGGCGGCGGCAAAGACAGTGGCGGCGGGTTGTTAGCGGCCGACGGTCAAGGCAACAACAACAGCGGCGGCGGCGGCGGGGGCAAGACCGACGAGGAGCTGCTCAAAATGGGCGACCAGAGATACGAGCACCCGGCGGCGGCTACTCCGGGCCAAGGCCAGGGCCAAAGCCTGGGCCTAGCGCCGGGATTGGCCGACTATAACTACTACCGAGCGGGCAGTGCAGGAGCAGGAGGCCCCGGCCCCGGGCCTTATTTCGATCAACATGGCGGACAACAAAGCCCCGGACTCGGCCTTCACCCGTCCCCTGGCCCGGCTCAGGCTCAGGCCTCGGGTCAGGAGTTACAGGCCGGCGGTGTTAGTGTCAGCCCCAGCCCGCTACACAACTCCCACGACGGCTACTCGAGCAACAACAGCTACAACCACCATTACTCGGCCTACAGGCCGACCTACAGCAGCGGGCCCGCCGCCTACAGCATGCTCAGCTCTCCCCGGGCCAACAGCAGCCCCGGCCTCCACCACCACCCGCACCATCACCACCCTCACCTGGGCAACAAGCAGCAGCCGCTACAGCCCGCGGCCGCCTTCCAGCGCTTCTCGCTGCAGAACCAGCACTCGGGGGGAGCCACGCCGACCCTCAACCAACTGCTCACCTCCCCCAGCCCCGCCATGAGGGGCTACGGCTTCCCGGACTACGGCAGCGCCGCCGCCGCTGCTGCGGGGGCTTCTCAGGCCTCGCTGAAAGTTAGCAGCGGCGGCGGCAGCAGCGACATCATGGCCAGTCAGTATGGAGTAGCGAGTAGCCAGGGCTGGGGATCGGCGGCGGGAGGACAACCAGGCCGGAGCCCCCACCCCGCCATGAGCCCAGGCAGCACGGCACAGCCTCTGGGCAGAGCGCAGGTAAACAACGGGGTCGCTTGTGTGTCTTTAACTGTGTGTGTGTGTGTGTGACCTGTGGTTAGAGAGGTAAAGACAGGTAAAAGATGCATCTCTCGTCCTATACCCTCCACCACCCCCCAAAACACACACAGGCAAAAGCATCTCCTCTTCCCCTACCCCCCCCCCCCCCCCCACCAAAAAAATCCCCAAAGACAAAAGCATCGCCCTTTCCCACAAAGCACACCCTTCCGATCCCCCCAAACCATCACCTTCTTCTTTCCTCTCTCTCCCCCCCCCTCCCAACACAGCCCAAATCATCTCCCTCTCCCCCCCCCACACACATACAAAAAAGCACAAAAGTATTTCCCTCTCCTCTCCCCCCTCCGCAAAAACACAGCTCAAATCATCCCCCTCTTCCCTCGCCCCACCCCACAAAAAGCAGCACAGAAGCATCTCCCTCTCCCCCCCCCCACCCGAAAATCACAGGCAAAAACACCTCCCTCTCCACCCCCCCAAAAACAGCCAAAATCATCTCTGTCTCTCTTCCCCCCCCCCCCCCCCCCGCCCCAAAACTGCTGCCTCTACCCCGCACCCCGACAGGACAATCTTTCTCCCCTGTTGGAAGGTAAAGTTACAGAGCTTGTTTTTGTTTTACACGAATTGTGAATATATTGACGAGTTTTTTTCACATCTACAAATATTTATAAAACCAATCAATTGAAGCCTACACTAGCGCTTTAGAAGCGCTGTAAACAAACATGAACTAACTGCTCGTGTTAAGGATAATTCCCAAACGGCAGCGTTTGAGGTGTAACAATAGTTAAAATAACATTTAATGACGCTTCTATTCTCTCTCCCCTCCCCCACTGGAGTTTGTATGTTCTCTCTCTTTACCCCTCCTGTCTACATGTCTGTTTTGCTGGTTTGCATCCCCCACACCTTGTCTCACTGTTTTAGTTGGTTCACCCTTCTCCCCCTTCTCATCTCCTGCTTAGTAAAACATTTGGTTGCCAACAACAACCCCTCTGCTGCTTCTGCCTGTGGTCATCTTTCTGGAAGCAAGTTGTCCTGTTTGTAAACCAGTAATGTCTAATTAAGTTAAAGGGAAATGATCCTGTCTCCCCCTACCCCCCACCTTCCCTTCCTCCCTGCCTAAAATAATAATAATAATTATTGCATTTGATATAGCACCTTATCACATCTTCCATACTCTCAAAGCGCTTCACAGAATATACTGTAAAGTGAATTAGTATGTTTTGTGGGCAAAAATTCTCTGCCTCTTGCTCTCTCTCCCCCCCCCGTGCCCGGGTTCTGCTGACCGGGGTTGTTGTGCTGTGCTCTGGTGGAGCCGCGCGCGGGCGGCTCAGTGAATGACTGACTAGCTTGAAATTGTTGTGCAAGGTTTGCAGTTTGAATTGTGGAGGTAAAAGGCATGGAATCGAGTCTCCAGACAACTGCCTCCGAGCTGACATCTTATCTGCCAGCTGATTGGCTCCCACTCTCACCACTGGGCATTTATCAGGGCGGATGTAAATACAACTTGCTGAGTATCAGTCGCAACCATCCAGCCAGCACCTTCCCTCCCCATTGCACATTCCCCAACAATCTGCAAAGCTTTGCTTTATCCAACACTTGATGCATTCTTTTAAAAGCAGAAAATAAAAATTCCTGGTTCATTTTCTCCGTTTTAGTAATCTGCTGTCATTATTTCCAACCTTTTAATATTTTTTTTCGAGAGGATACATTTAGAATCATCTTTACATACCTCCCAACTTGCACAGAATTAAACATCCACACTGGAACAAATATTGATTTGTTAAAAAAAGCTGTTGAAAAATATTTATAACGTTCTGCAACAAACGACAGCTTGTACAAATTTAGTAAAAATCAAGTGTTAATTATAAATATTATTTTATGTAACACAGTAAATTGTACCGTATGTTTCAAAACCTGTTCCTCATAACCAAGGGATATAAATGCTTATTAGGCTAATTGATTATCACTAAATTAGGCCTGTTTAGTATTTTATTAATGCATTCATACAGTGGAAACTAGAGTGCAATCTATTTATAAAATTAAATCTTTACTACATGTACGATTTTTTGTTCATTATACAAAAAGTGTACCTTTTTGACATGCAGAAATATAGGTAAATGATCATTTCTATTGAGTAATTCAGTTCTATTTTAAAGCTATATTCTTTTGATCCCACATTAATTCAACAAATATTCCTTATAAGCATCAAAACATTTCAAAGTGCTTCACGCATAAATTGTGTCAAGTGTAGTGACCATGAGGGAACATGGTAGCCAATTTGCATACAACACTGGCTCATAAATAGGAATAAAGTGATGACCAATTTATCTGGTTTATCTTCAGCAATGCAACACTTACCTAGAGATGAAGCTTGAATCCACAATCTCTGACTTAAAAATGAGACCTCTGATTTTAAAAATTTTTAAAAATGTTTTAGCTTTTATTACAATTTGACCCCATGTCTTAAATGTATCTTTCAAAATAGTTTTGCCGCTTTAAATGGCACAATGAATAAATGTTGCGTAATACTGGACAGCAAGACCATAAAATTCTTAGGCTAATGTATATTGATTTCAGTTGAATTGACGATGGAGAATTGTCTTAGGATCTCACAGCTAAGAAGAGGCAAACAGTATTCTCTTTATTGACACCCAGCAGTTTCTGCTGGAAATACATCTGCAGATATTAGTGGTGGTCAGGATTGGGTTCAGGGTGGTTTCTCCTCTTGGTATGGAATATCCAACTGACACTCATCATTCTGGACATGCTCTTGCACGAGTTACCAAAATGAGAATGGGGGTGCACCACTGTGATTCCTGGATCCTTGTTCCTGAATGAGTCACTCCCATCAGCAGGGACCAGATGGAAGAAAATGCAGTTTTCTTTAATTGTTTACTACACTTTTTAGGGATATTGTATTGGTTGTTGAATTTTTGATTCAGCAGCATCTTAAAGCTCTCTAATGTCCACTGTGTAAATCATTGAGTCATGCGGACCAGAAGGTTGCAATCCTAGTGTGCTGAATTTAGTCAGGGAAGTTGGTCAATGCTACAGTTGGCTTTTGTGCCACTGGGCCAGGGAGGTAAAAAAAAGCTGATTTCTTATTCCTGATTGCTATACAGTCATTCCTGCTAGAAAGGCTAAACAAAGGTATAAACATTGGGTGATGAACGACTGGTTTGGATGTGTTGCATTCTGTAGTTGAATAACTGCCAGATACCAACCAGACTTGTAAAAATGGCCACTTGGGAGAGATATCACCTGTAACCTGTAGAGCCAGACCCCCAGAAGCCTGCACTTTCAGTGGAGAAAACTGTCTATGTTAAAATCATGCCACGTGAAGTTAATTGTTATATTGTTATTATCAATAATAATAATGGTAATGATGAATTTGATGACTTGTCCTATTCGCTACCTATGTCAAATATGATCTAACAAATTCAATTTATTTTTCAATTTCTTTCAATTCACTTCACACATGAAAAATGTGCCTTAGTAAGAATTAGCCTCAATGGGCAGCTTTCTTAAGTATCCATTTTTCACATGGGAACTGAGATATGGGGTCTATAACATGGCACATTTTGAAGGGATTTCTGAATACGGACTTGATTGTCAATGGGGAGGGGTTCCTTTGGGTAAATGGCAGTATGTTACATTGTGATGTGATCTACTTGCCCTGTGGAGTTTCTGCGAACTGTACTTTTGCCAACTGGAAGGAATCCTCAATTGTTACTCAGGAGTCCTTAATAAAAAATCGAGTTTGAAATGCCGCCTTTTAGACCCCGGTGAGAATTGGCTCATTTTGAATGTGGGAATAGCACGGTTGAGCCTGGTGATATCCTTATCCTTTGTGTTTGTGGGACACTGCTGTGCGCAATTGGCTACCGCGTTTTGCCAACAAAAACACACAAGTCAATTCACTTTTCAATATATTCTGTGAAGGTTTTGAGACGTCTCGAAGACGTGGTAAAGTGCTATATCAAATGCATGGATTATTATTATTCACACACATGTCCATTTTCCAGCAGGTGTCACTAGTTAGCAACAAGCGAAAACCTGGAGACTTTCTTTTCCCCTCTCATTGCAAAGGCACATTGAGGGTATATGTCTTGCCCATCTGAGCTCAGCTAACTTGGCAGACTGGGAGTGGAAACTGTGACCTGGTCTGTATGGATTACTGTTGCACTCAGTGGTTGATTTACCCACAAGGCCATTGGGAGGGGTGAGGAATAGCACCAATTTATTTTTGTTAATACTCCAGAAGGCAAAATATTCTTTTTGGAGAACGCCAAATCATAGAAAAAGCGTTTCTGCCAATATTCCTCTCCGCCCCCCACCAAACCAATACTAATTTGCGATATGGGTGATTGATTTTTTATTGAAAGGCTGAGAAAATCTGAGCATACATTACTACATTCTTGACAACCTCTGTAAATTACTTCTAATTGACCTGCATTCTTATAGCTGGTGTATGTTAGTGAAGTGTTTCCTCTTTATGTTAAATTGTTCTAATGCTATTTTGGTGTTTGCTAACTAACTACGTTTTGAACATGAAGCATTGTACCGTATATTGTAGGTTGAAGGGAATGATCTATTTGCAATACCTGTGTTCTCATGTCTGTTGAGATTAAGTTATCGCAGGTCAGTCAAATAGAGGTTGTGTTTGCTGCTTTTCAGATTGTTCAGAGACTACTGTGGAATTAAGACAGAAAAAAATAAGCGATGTGTTTGAAAGTGGACTTCTTAAAAGCAATGGAAGCTATTTTTGTAAACAATGCGACTTTCCATTCGGTTTGTTTTTATTTGCTTTGTGTTCTATAGTTAAAGAAGTAGCACTAAAGACTTGCTCACATTTTGATGACTAGCTTGTTATTATTATCTGAGTTCACTGAATGATGTGAACTGTGTAAGACAGCAGTTGTCTCATAAGTGATGAGCAACCATCACTTGCAAGCAAGAGGACCTGGGTTCGATTCCCGGACAGG